GGGGGGGGGGGGGGGGGGGGGGGGGGGGGAGCACAGCAAACTGAGATGTGTGAGGCTGGAAGATGTGGGCCTCCGGGCCGAGGCCAGGTGGGAGCAGCTGCGGAGAGGTTAAGCTTGGCCTCTTTGAATTCAAGAAGCCGGAAGCTGAGTGCTCTAAGCTGAGCTTTGATGTGTGTTTAAAAGATCAGGTTCTCTGCGGGGCACAGTGGTTGTGGACAGAGCCTGGGGTAGGGCGGGAGAGGAGGATTCTGGAGGCTATTGTATTAGCCTGATGAGAAAGGTGATGGTAGCCCTGAGTGGGGGGGGGGGGGGGGGTGGGGTGTGTTGTCCTTGAAAAGGGGGGGGATTGGGATTTATTTGTCCATGAAACTGACAGGACTTTGCTGTGTATTGATTCTCGGGGAGAAGGAAAGGAAAAAATTAAGGATGATTCCTGGCTTATTTGCCTGACTATCTGGGTGGTGATGCGCCCATTTCCAGGCAGAGGTACACTTTGGAGGTGGGGAATAGTGAGAAAAGCAATACTTCTAAATGGTATTCTGATAATTCCTGAATTAATGAAAGAAAGTGGTAGAATGAACGAACAGGGGAACAAACCATCAGTACGTCAGAAAGGAGTTAATATTGATAGGAAAATAAATACTACCTAACAGACAGGCCTAAGATAAAGTTAAGTTTATATGATGCAACTTAATCACTGACAAGGCAACCGTTCACATTTAGGGGGATGTCAAATGTGATTCTCTAAAATAACTTTATCTTTGTAAATGTTCCAATGTTTTTGATAATGATCTTGATTTAAAGTTAGGTTTCTTACTTAGATCTCTCAGTAATAGTTATACTATCGCTTTTGTGATTCTTAAATACATAAATTCCAATTCTGTTTTCTCATAATTTTGTTGATTCCATGGAAAAACAAAAGACATAACCCAGATTTTTCTAGGGACATTAATTATATTTATGAAAGATCAAACACCATTATTTGCATCCAGCCTTCCTACATACCATAGAACTGAAAAGCATGTGATTTTATTATGAAATTATATAGGTAGATTGCTGTAATAGAGATTCCGTATGCTGTATAACAATATTATAAGGCTTGGCAACATTTTTGAAATGCGGTATATTGTTTACTTTTCTCAAAAAAAAATGTTGCCAGGCATAACATTAGGCACGCATGACATTTCAAATGTGTGACTTATTTAGCACCTCTCAAATGTGAATGTACAGTGGGTGTAGTGACAAGTAGAAAAATACAATTTTCTAAGAAAAAAAAAATGTGTGGGCAACTTCCAATCCATTCAGAATTGGTTCTTAAACTTGAATAAATAATAGAAAGAATAGACTTTCAGATGTACTTAGAGAGTTAGTGACAAGTACAAAGGTATTCATGAAATATAGGTAGAGATATTTTTAAGCCAGATGGCTTCTGGGAAGCCCAGAAAACACACAGAAACAGCTGTGTGGGTCAGTAAAAGCTCTGCCATGTTAGAGCCATTTCTATGTCATACAAAGAGTTTGTCTAGTCCTGGCCTTGTTAAGTGAGGCAGGAAGTCCTAAGTCAGACCACCTGCTTCAGCCTGAGCATCACTCAGTAAATACAGGTCATAGGTGGACATAAATAGCCACACTTTTCTAATTTGTTAAATATAATCCCTAGAGATGGAAAGAAATGGGATTAGAGTCCTAGCTAGAATTATTTGGTTCAAACCATTTTCCAAAGTAAATACGTTTCTCAAACGAATTTTCAATTTTTTTCTGTACTAATGTAAGTCATTTAGGTAAGAATACAATCCCCTTACTAAAACGAAGAAGAAGAAGAATATTTTTTTCTTCCATTTATTGCCTAATTACTCATGCTAAATTTACTGCCTGTTATTCAACATTCAGTTCAAATAAAAAGTTTGAACTCTTTATCATGATTCCATGGATAATGTTGTACCACTTGGCTGAGTTATGATTTTTATACCACTTGGCTGAGTTATGATTAACATGTAAAAAGCTGTACATGTTTAATGCATACGACTTGAGTCTAGGGATCAATATATACCCATGAAAACATCACCACAATCTGTGCCATAAACATATTCGTTACCTCCAATGTTTTCCTCTCTTTACTTAGTATTATTATTTTCTGTTGTTATAAGAACACAACATAAGATCTACCCTCTTAGCAAATCTCTAAATACATAAAATAGTGTTCGTAACTATTGGGTTTATGCATAAACACTTAATAGATATTCATTTCGTAATTTTACTGATGAGGAATGCATGGTTCAGAGAAGATAAGTTACTTGACGAAGA